TAATGTGAGGTCAGACTGGAATCCGGTGGAGCCGAATCCAATTTGAGTGGTGTCCTTACACAAGATGAGAGGAGAGGCAGAGGCAGGCAAGAGGAAGTATGGTCACGCGAAGACGCATTTACAAGCCTAGGAATGCCTGGGCTACCAGAAGCTGGGAAAGTCACATGGAACAGATTCTCCCTCAAAGCCTCAAAAGGAATCAACAGAGCTAACACCCTGATTTTGGACTCCCAGCCTCCAGAACTGTGAGAGAACAGACTTCTGTTCTCATAAGTCACCCAGCTTGTGGTATTTCGTCACAACAACAGGAGGTACTGAAGGTAGAAATGTGCCAGAGCAGGTGTGGCGTGGGCCTTCACGGCCTCCAATCAGTGGGGAAGCCAAGGTCAAAACAAGTGAGCAAATATACCAAAGTCCCCACAAACTGTTATCATATCTAGAATGTTGAAAAGAGGTGCTGAGAGAGCATAAAGCAGGCCCCCACACTGAGGAAAGGAAGCCTCCCTGAGGAGAGACATTTACACTGAGGTCCCAAGGGGGAAAAAGTAAGTCGGGAGAGGGGAAGGAGCACAGCAGAGGTCCTGGGGGAGGGACGGCATGTGAGGAGCAGGGAGGAGGCTGTGAGGCCAGGGTCCAGTGTGGGGATTGTATCCTACAGGCAGCAGGAAGTGACCAAATGGGCTGAAGCATGGAGAGGTGCAGTCAGACTGATGCCTAAGCGAGCCTCTGTAGTTTCTGTGAGGAGAACGAATTTGAGGGGGTTAGCAGGAAGCAGGCGGGGGCTGGTATGGAAGGATATGGAGCCTCGTGCCTGGGTCCATACCTGGCCCACCACTACCTAGCTGTGGGACATTGGGCAAGTTATTTAGCCTCTCTATGATTCCAGGTTTTTATCTGTAAAATGGGGATAAAAATAATACCTCTCTCATGTTGTTAGCTGCTATCATGTTGGCTCCGACTCACGGCAACCCCATGCACAACAGAATGAAACATTGCCCGGTCCTGCGCCATCTTCACGATCTTTGGCCTGCTTGAGCCCATTCTTGTGGCCACTGTTGATTGTGAGGGCCTTCCAACCTAGGGGGCTCATCTCCCAGCGCCAGATCTAACAATATTCTTTTTTTTTTTTAATTGTACTTTAGAAGAAGGTTTACAAAACAAACTAGCTTCTCATGAAACAGTTAGTACACATACTGTTTTATGACAGTGGTTACCAATCCCACGACACGTCAACACTCTCCCTTCTCAACCTTGGATTCCCTATTACCAGCTTTCCTGTCCCCTCCTGCCTTCTAGTCCTTGCCCTTGGGCTGGTGTGCCCCTTTAGTCTCATTTTGTTTTATGAGTCTGTCTAATCTTTGGCTGAAGGGTGAACCTTGACAGTGACTTCATTACTGAGCTAAAAGGGTGTCCAGGGGCCATACTCTTGGAGTTTCCCCAGTCTCTGTCAGGCCAGTAAGTCTGGTCTTTTTTTGTGAGTTTGAATTTTGTTCTACATTTTTCTCCAGCTCTGTCCGGGACCCTGTATTGTGATCCCTGTCAGAGCAGTCAATGGTGGTAGCCAGGCACCACCTAGTTGTACTGGAGTTGGTCTGGTGGAGGCCGTGGTAGTTGTGGTCCGTTAGTCCTTTGGACTAACTTTTCCCTTGTGTCTTTAGTTTACTTCATTCTCCCTTGTGCCTGAAGGGGTGAGACCAGTGGAGTATCTTAGATAGCTGCTCACAGGCTTTTAAGACCCCAGACGCTACTCACCGAAGTAGAATGTAGAACATTTTCTTTATAAACTGTTATACAAATTGAGCTAGATGTCCCCTGAGACCATGGTCCCCACAGCCCTCAGCCCAGCAATTTGGTCCCTCAGGGAGTTTGGATGTGTCTATGGAGCTTCCATGACCTTACCTTGGTCAAGTTTGCTGGCTTCCCTGGTATTGTGTATTGTCTTACCCTTCACCAAAGTTACCACTTACCTATTTAGTGTCAAACAATAGTCTATTGGGATCCACAGAGTTTTCAGTGGCTAATTTTCAGAAGTAGATTGCCAGGCCTTTCTTCCTTGTTTGTCTTAGTCTGGAAGCTCCGCTAAAACCTGTTCACCATGGATGACCCTGCAGGTATTTGAAATGCTAGTGGCATAGCTTCCAGCATGACAGCAACATGTAAGCCACCACAGTACAACAAACTGACAGACAGGTGGTGGACCTTTCATAGGCCAGCATTAAATGATTTCTTACATTTAAACATCTAGAAACATTCCTGGCACGTGATGAGAGCCATTGGGCTCAATATTCTTATAATGATCAGACACGAAGGAGGAAGAAAAGGGGACAAGAAGATGACTTGGGAACTCGAGCCAGGCAATGGATGATTGCACTATTTACTGAGAAGGGAGGAAAGAACATGGATTAGAAAGGTTTAAGATGTCTGGGGAAGACCCAGCAGAGCTGGCAGGATTGTGCCCCTTGACGGCAGGCTGGGATTTTATCTGTTGTCGCTTGTCACCGTAAGCCCTCACCTAGCAGAGCCCCTGGCCCAGAGGTAGGGCTCCATCGAGGTTTCCTGAAGGCCTGATGTTGGAAAGGCAGCCCCGGGAGGGAGCACAAGGTGGTGAAGGAGTGAGAAGACCAGCGTTTTCTCTCCGGTCTTGTGCCATTTTCCTGCCACATGGGAAAATTCTAAGGGGTGTTGCTGGACTCCAGAGATAAGACATGAAGACTTCGCTCTCAGGGACGTGCTGATGCCCGTAAGAGTCTGATGTGCTGAAATGCATGACAACTCAGCCGTCTATATGCTTCAGTCCTGCAGATTTCCTCTTTCCCTAGTGAGGACATAAGGACAGAGGTGCTATGGACTGAATCACGCCCTCCAAAATAAACGTGCAAGTCCTAACCTCTGGACCTGTGAATGGGACCCTGCTGGAGAACAGGGGTTTTCTTTTGTTATGTTAATGAGGCCACAGCAGAGTAGGGAGAGCCCTAAACCTAATCACTTCTGAGTGGTGGCTTACAAAGGGAGAACAGAACAGAGAGACACATGGGGAAGACGCATATGAAGGGCCCTCTACAAGCCAAGGAATGCCTGGCGCTACGGATAAAGAAGGACCCTCCCCAGAGTTGATCCCTGATTGGACTTCTAGCCTTCTAGAACTATGAGACAATAGATTTTTGTTCTGTATAGACACCATTTGTGGTATTGTTGTTATAGCAGCACCCGAAGTTCTCAACCTCAGCCAGCCGTTGGCATCATCTGGGAGATTTAATACATTGGATTCCCCAAGTGTGTGATTTAATTGGTCTGAGATGTAGCCTGGGCATTGCGATTTTTAAACACAGAGGGATTTGAGAGTCATTAATCAGCATGACTTTAACTGTGGATATAAAACATTTCTTTTTAGTCATGATTTACAACTTGCTCGTTTTCAAAACTGATGTGACACAGCTAAGGTATAAAACAGACCCTTTAAAAAAGGAGTAAAAATAAGAAGTTTTTAATTTCAAGAGGAATTATTGTAATGGAACATGAAATCTAGGCCTGAGTTTTCTGGAGCAAATGAGCAAAGGTGAACAAGAAGTGTTAGGGTGTCATCACGGTCCATAAAAGGACATCTATGAGATAATCAGAGTCCCCGGGTGGTGCAAAGAGTTAACACACTCGGCTCTAACTGAAAAGTTAGAGGTTCGAGTCCACCCTCAGACATCTTGGAAGAAGGGCATGGCAATCTCCTTTGGAAAAATCAGCCATTAAAAACCCTATGGAGCACAGTTCTACTGTGACACACATGGGGTCACTGTGAGTTGGAGTCGACTTGATGGTAACTGGTTTTACAAAGTAATCTGTTGTTAGCTGCTGTTGGGTTGGCCTCCAACTCATGGCGACCCCATGCACAACAGAATGAAACACTGCCTGGTCCTGTGCCATACCCATGATAGGTTGCAGATCAGATCATTGTGATCTATAGGGTTTTCACTGGGTGATTTTTGTAAGTAGATCAGCCGGCCTTTCTAGTCTGGAAGCTCTGCTGAAATGTGTTCAACATCACAGCAACATGCAAGCCTCCACTGACAGATGGGTGTGGCTGCTCATGAGGTGCGCTGGCTGGGAACTGAACCCTGGTCTCACACATGGGAGGCGAGGATTCTACAACCAAATCACCAATGTCTCACAAGGTCATCTACAGAGAAATAACACCAAAAACCAGGGCTTTGAACCAGTTTGTTTGGGTTCAAACCCCTGCTGAAAATAAGCATTTCTAACAAGTTCCCTGCTGAGAATTTGCATTTCCACCCCAGATATACTGAATCAGAATCTACATTTTAACAAGATCCGCAGGTGAGTCTTATGTATAACTTCCTGGGAACGTGTTAGAAATGCAAATTCTCAGCAGGGAACTTGTTAGAAATGCAAATTCTCAGCAGGGGTTCAAACTGGAATTAACCAGACGGAAGCCCTGACCAAAACACTTTTTTTTTCCCCATCACATCTTTCTAGGAGGATAGGTGAAAACCATTTGGATGAACAAGAGGGCTGAGCACATAGATACTTCATGGCTCATTAACACCAGGCTGCTCCCCAATCAGTCAGCAGCCAATGTGAAGGTCATCGTTCTTTCCTGAAGGTCTACAGGCTCCCCTATGATGACCTTGGCCAAGTAAGCCCGAGAAGCAGGAGACAGGTGGGTTGCAGCCCACCTGTCTTAGGAAACCTTTCTTCCAGGACTCAGCCAAGGAACAGAGAACCCAGCTCCCCCACGCAACTTCACTGCACTCAGGTTCACAGAAGCACTCTCTCTGTGCCCAGGAAAAACCTGCTGAGTGGACACTCACGATGCCTCTGCACCCTGAACTCTCAGTTCAGTTTCATTTTCCTAATGTCCAAATTTCCAGTGGGAGGCAGACCCTGCTTTGCATCAGGCAGTGGATGCTGCAGTTCAGAATCTTCCTCCTGCCCTCACGGACAACTCCATCACGGCACCTGGGAGAATGCACTGGCTGAGGGAGACTTACGGGGGGTTGTCGCATTTCCTCTGCCGGAAGCGGGCTCCCGTGCCACATGTTCGGCTGCACATGCTCCAGGCGCCCCACGGGCTCCAGTCTCCGTCCACGTGCTCTGGGATGGGTGTCTTGCTGACACACTCCCCGGCGCGACACCACTAAAACAGAGGGAGGACCCGCGGGCCCGAGCTGCTCAGGGAGAGAAGCAACCTGGTCACTCCCCAAATTAGTGGTCCACCCATGCCAAAGACAACATGCCCCCGAAATCGACTTTTGTAATTTAGGAGTCCTGTTGCTATGAGTTGGAATCGACTCGACGGCAATGGGTTGGGTTTTGGTGGGTGGTGCAAATGGTTTGCGCTCAACTGTGAACCTAAAGGTTGGTGGTTCAAACCCACTCAATGGCACCTGGTGATCTGCTTCTATAAAGACTACAGCCAAGAACGCCCTGTGGAGTAGTTCTACCCTGTTAACATGTGGCATCATGATGAGTTGGAACTGACTCAACAGTAATGGGTTTGGATTTTTTGGTTGGGTGGTGTAAATGGTTAAGTGATGGATTACCAAATAAGCAAGGCAGGCAGGGCTTACTTGTGCTTACTTAGTTATCTGTAGTGCACAATTACACCTGTTTTCACCATGTCAAAGATGTAGTGAAACTCATGTGAAATTGTGCACTATAAATTAGTAAGTAAGCACAATGAAGCCTGCACATAACTTGCTTACTGGTTCATCTGCCCCTGCTGCTCACCAAAAGGTTAAAGGTTCGAGTTCACCCAGAGGTACCTCAGAAGAAAGAAGAAGAAGAATTAGCCATTGAAAACCCTATGGAGCACAGTACTACTCTGACACACATGGGGTCACCCTGAGTTGGAATCAACTTGAGGACAACTGGAAAAAGTAGACTACTCTGGGGTGTGCATGTTTGCAAAACTTGGCAGCACTTCTTACTTACTCAACGTTGACACCGCTATCTGTCTGGAGTTTGGGTTTTGCCCTAAACTTTCACGTGGAATGTGCTCCCTTGGGATTTTCTAAATTCCCAGAAAAAGAATTAACCCACATGGTTCACGAAGAAACCTGAGTGTCTGCAAACTTTGCTTATTGTGAGTGAAGGCAGCACGTCCTGCTCTGTGCTTTTGAACTTCAGAGTTGGGTTTGGTGCTTTGTAATGACACTACCGATGCCATGTGAGTGAATCTTGGTTCTTTCTGAGGATAACAGAAAGCCAATCCTTTAAAGCAGAATTTCCTACCCTGTGTGGCACATAACCTGGGGGAACAAGATGTGATTTCATGGGTCTCAATCCCAGTGTCAGAGTGAAAATCTTACCTCTTTTCCACTCTCTTTCAATCCTTCCCACAGGACCAAGGAGAAAGTCTCAAGCTGTTGCTGCCATATCTTGAACACCTCTCTAACACTAACAGTTTCTCCTGTTGATGAAGACTGGGGCAGGCTTGCTCTCCCGCTATCTGGCTAGAATTTGACAGCATTGCTTGTTCCCATTAAATTCATTTTACAATAGCCTGTTATGTATGCCAAGTGATACTGCTTTTCCATTTAAGGTGTACTGATGTAAAGTTTTCCTTTTAAATAAATTCACTCATGTGATAAAAAGAGTTAATACAACAAAAATATTAACTAATTCTTGTATCTTACAGGAAAAGAAGAGTGAGGTAATGAAGGTCCCTTGTGTGCCTGGAGGGCGCTCTGTGGGCATTTCAGGGGTGCCTGGGGGATGTTTCGGAGACTCATGAGCACAGAGAGCAGATTGCCTCTGAGAGGAGAGATGCCTATGATTGCTTACTTCAGGGCACCCCAAGGCCCAGGAGCCATGGGGCTGCCTTCTGGGGGGCAGTGGGAGAGAAGAGGGTTACCTTGTCTGCCCCACACTCAGTGCCATCCAGGGGAGGGTCCAGCTTGGTCTTGCAGGACGAATCTCCTTCAACCAGGCACCACAGACCAGCACACATCAGATGCTGTAGCGACAAGGGCAGGAAGCATCATTGCTGAGAACCTCTGCACACGCCAGTCACAGCCGAACCAGCTCCCAGCTGAAGAGCTGAGGCAGCAGGCGGGGCCCAACGACCAGTTAAGGTTCGGGATTGGAAACATGAGGGGAAGAGGGAGGGTCATTAATCTGCATGTCAAAAAAATAGATGCATTATTTCAACTGGTTCATTTACCGCAACAAAATTCCGTGTGTCTACTGCTAGGAGGGCTTGTCTCACTGGGATTCAGCTCAGGGTTCAAGCATCAGCTACTGGGCTCCTACTAGGTGTCAGACACAGCACCCCAGCTGGGAGCCACAGACGCTGCCTCCCAGCAGTGATTAGCAAACAGATGGCTTCCATTTAAAGCAGGGAGGTAGGAGGCAGAGGCCAGAGGTTATGAGGAAGCAAGTAAAGGAAGACGCTAACCACCCAAGCCTTGGTCAGAGAAGGCTGTTGGAAAAGGCGCTCTGGACTGAGGCTGGGGAGTGCGTGGGGGTAGGTGAGTAGCAGCCATGCAGACCCAGAGGCGAGAACCCCAAGGGTAATGAGGGCATAGCGTCCCCCAATGGGCTAAATGGACCCCCTTCAGTTCCCGTGGGCACCCTTTTTCCAGTTCAGCTGAACTGTGCATAGTTTCCTACAATATTTCACCTAGAGAATTTCACAACATCCACAAATACGTAATGAAAACAATTCTGCAGAAACAGGAAAAGGCATTTAAAAACACCGACTCCTACTTGTATTAGTAGGAAATTTGGTCATTGTCAAACTGCTCAGAATGAGACAATTTATCAAGATAACTGTAGTGGACACCGCCGGTGCCCCAGCTCCGTGTCTGTGGCTTCTCGGGCCTCTCCATAGGAGCTCCCTGCAGACAGCTGCCCTCACACCAGGCCAGCTTCCCAAGTCTCCCTGCAGGAGTGCCTTCTCTGGCCACAGAGCAACCCTCAACCAGTAAGGGAGGGAGCTGGAGCTGGATAAATACCCAGGTTCCTCACTACTAGGTGGGGTAATTCTGAGGCAAGTTCCAGAAGGTTCCACTGGGATGGACCTGTTGCCTACAGCAGTATCCTGCCCACCAAAGCACCTTCTCTTCTCTCCTCCTCACTCCCTCAGTGCTTCCTGGGATCACTTCCCAGATAAACTACTTGCACCCAAATCCTCCCCTCGTGGTCTGAAAATTGAGAACACATGTTCTCAAGGCTCTTTTAAAGACGCAGTGCTTCCAGTATGCCAAACCCAATCATGGTTAAAAGGCCTGAGCCAGAGTAGGGAGACATCACCCTTCAGGGTGTGGCTGAAGGACCTGCTGGTGCCCTTTGGAGAGAGTAAAGGTCACAGGGTCCCCGGGGTATAGTTCAGGGTAGTCACAGCGTGTTTGCAAAGGGCGTGCCATGCTCAGTTCAGATGTCTGATGTTCCAAGTAACCTCAAACATCTGCACAGAATAGATGTACAACTCTGCTGTCTAAACTCTGCTGTCTAAAGTCCAAAATGTTTAGAAGTTGAAGGGACGAAACTAAAATAGAAAAAGGAAAGAAAAGCAGAGTTGGAGGGAGCTTTTCAAAAGAGCTAAAGGAAGCCCAAGCTCCTTCCCTTTTTTCCAGTTTGTCTGAGCTGATCTGTACCCTGAAGAAGTTGATGATTCAAGTGGAATATTATACATTTGGGTTCAAAAAAGCCTACATGTTCCCATTACTTCTCCCCTCTCAGTGGAACGGTAAAAAGATGAGAGCCCTGAGTACGGCACCAGCTGGTCTTATAAAGATTTACTGCAGCTCATTAAATGCTTGATTCCACGCACTTTGACCTCAGAGCTCTTTGAGAGTGTGGCGTCTGTGTGTGGACGCGTGCTCTCGAGACAAGGCTGGCCCAGGAGGTGAATTTATGGCTTAAGGGTGCCTGGGATTAGGAGAGAGAGGAAGAAGGTGGTGTAAACTTCTTATTGTGCATTTCATAGACGGCATTTTCTCCTAAAACTTTTTTAATCATCAAAGAAAAGGAGAATGAGTTTAGGCAAAGATTTCTTAAACAGAATACAAAAAACACTAATCATAAAGGAAAAATATTACTGAATTATACTATATGAAAACAAAGAACTTCTGTTCATCCAAAGACAGCTAAAAAGTGGGAGAAGATATCTGCAATACATGGGAGAGAGATTTGTAATGCATATAACTGACAAAGTAATTGTATCCAGAATACATTTTTTAAAAAACCTCCTACAGATTAAGAAAAAGACCCAGTAGAAACGTTCAAAAGACAAAAACAGACACTTCACAAAAGAGGATACCAAAATGACCAAAAACAAATGAAAAGATGTTTAGTTTCATCAGTCATCAAGGAAAGGCAAAGTAAAACTTCCGTTAGACACCTCCACACACCCACCAGAATGGCTAGAATGAAAAAGATGGAGAGTACCAAGAGTCAGCAAAGATGTGTGGAATGCGAACTCTTGTGTACTGATGATGAAATTCTAACCTCATTCAGCAACTCTGGAAAACTCTTTGGCGGTATTTACTAAAACTGAAGATATACATATTCTATTACCCAGCAATTCCACTTCCAGGTATGTCCACCAAACACATTGTCAAGAATGTTCACAACAGTACTATCTGTATTAGTCTAAAATTGGAAAAAAACCAAATGCCTGCCAACAGCAGAACAGATCAACTATGGTATATTACAACTATGGAATACTGCATAATTTCATTTATATAAAGTTCAAAAACAAGCAAAATAAATCTAAAATGTTGAGAGTCCGGATAGTGGTTACCTTTGTAGAATGGACTTGTGACTGGTGGGGAGCATGAGGGGACTTCTAGGTACTGGTAATGTTCTATTTCTTGATTTGGTGCTATATACAGGTATGTTCAATTCATAAACAAAAGGGGAATAAGCAGGAAAGACTTTAGAACAGCCTCCAATCTAAGCTTGGCCACTACCATTGCTCCATGTGCCCAAGCCAAGCAATATTCCTTCCTGGGATTCACTTCCACTAATGGACAAATGGGAAGGACTACACTAATGTTTGTCCCTATGATGCCTTCTCAATCGACAACTGGCAACTGCATCATGTTTACAAACCACAAAGTGCTCTGATGTCTGTCATCTTGACCCTCATGACAGCCCTGGAAGGCAGAGAGAATGAGGGCTTTCTCCATTTTTCCCATAAGGAGGCAGATGTTTGCAGAGGGCAAGGGATCTGAGCTGGGTCAGAACCACAGGACTGGGAGTTCACTTATCAAGGTTCAAATCCTGGTTCTTGAACCGTGTGGTGTTTAAACAGCTGTATTCACTTTATAAAAATTAATCAAGTTCTAAACTTACAATTTGTGTACTTTCCTGCATGTATATTATACTCTAATAAAATAATTTAGTTAGAAAAAGAGACAAAAAGAAATGAATGCTTAAGCTGGTGACAGAATTTGTCATAAGGCAGAAGCAAGGAAAGCAGGGCTGCACAAGGAAATCAGAAGGACAGACCATGGGTATCCAATCTCAGCCAGATCTCAGAGGTGGAGAGAGACTCCATGGGGAGTAACCTTGCCACATCCCACCTCCCCGCAATCCTCTCATAAGGTGAATTGCTGCAGCCTGGAAACAGCCCAGGCTCTTCCCAACATGGACATACTGTAAACAGCTGGTCCAGGAATAACTCAAAAGAGAGCAATAATGGGAAAAGATCAGCACAGGATCTATTAAAACAAAAAACCCATTGCCATCAAGTCGATTCCGACTCTTGCGACCCTACAGGACAGAGTAGAACTGCCCCATAGGGTTCCCAAGGAGTGGCTGGTGGATTTGAACTGCCAGTCTTTTGGTTAGCAGTTGAGCTCTTAACCACTGCAGCACCAGGGCTCCACAGGATCTATAGCACAAACAAAAAAGGGAGAAGGTCCATTGGAAAGAAGGCAGAGGAAAAATACTCACCAGAATATGGTCATGGAGTAGACGAACATTATGTCTAAACAGACTGTTAATTTTTTTTTATAAAAAACATAGCAATTGTATCTATCAAAAAGTAAAAAAACAAATATGTAAGAACTCAAGGAAAAGCTGGTCAGGCCAAAGGAGATAAAACATGAGCTATTAGAACTAAGTCAAGAAATGGAAGAGAAAATAAAATTAGATCACTAATGAAGACCACACTGAGAGCGGCAGAAAGGTGAAGAGAGACATGTCTGAAAATGCAGTAAGGTCCATGGAGAGCTCAGGACTGAGAAAAAGTGAATATGGAAATGAACAGATAATTTGAAAAGATTAAGAGAAAATGGCAGATACAGAAGACAGATAAAGGAGATCTGACATAAGTATAAGTGGTTCCCATAAAGATGAGGACTAAAATACTGTAACAGACAAATTGTTTGAATATCAATTCAAAACAGTAACCTGAAATAAAAGAGACCTCAGTCTCAGATTGAAATACAAGTGCTAGGAAAAATGGCCAAGAGTGATGAATGCTGAGACATGTCCAAAAGAGGTACTGGATTTCAGTAGTAAAGCTAAAAATCCTTTGGGAAGCCAGGCAAAAAGATCAAGTCACTTATAATGGGAAAAATATCAGGCTGTATACAGATTCCTCCACAGCAGCACTCAGTGACAGAAAGCACTGAGCAATACTTATAAAAACACAGGGAAGGAAAACGAGTCCAGGAATCTATATCAACTAAACAGTTGATCAACTATATAGGTAACAGACAAACATTTTCAATATGCAAATAGATGAATCCTTTTTTGGGGGAAAATAACTAGAGGATGAACTTCAGCCAATTAAGAAATGACTGAAGAACCCATGACAAAAGGACTAGCAGTGAGCACTGATCAAACATCGATTAAAACAAATGTAGGGATTAAAGTTAGAGAATAGAATGAATATGATAGAAACCCAGACAAGGCAGAAATAGATAAGAACAGGCTGGCAGAGAAGGTGGTTGGGGGTGAACATGGGAAGACTAGGAGGTAAGGTCTACATATACCAATTTC